CGCCGTTGAGAGCGAAACCACGGTCGAATCCATTGCTACACCTGCGGCCGATTCCTCTGTATTTCCCGGTGTCATCGAGCCCACATTGACTGAATCTGTTCAGCAATTGCCTCTAACGGAACCATCTCCAGTTCAAAGCCCCCTTCCCGTACCTGAAGCGACGCAGAGTGTGTCCGAGCCTAACATGGAGGAATCAAGTGCAGGGCCCGTTGAAACTCAATCTCAAGACATCGACTGGGAAGATGCAACGGTTCACTCTCCAAAGTCGAAGAAGGCTAAGAAAGACAAGAAGAACAAGATTGAGCCTGTTGCTCTCGACATAGCTGAGAATTCTGCTATCGCACCATCAGAACTTCATGAGCAGACACAAGCGCCAAAGGCATTAGAACTAGGACCAGAGACCACAGAGCCACAGTCACAGCCATCTATCACTATTCAGGATCAAGTCAGCACTATCTCAGAGTCAGACAATCACGTCAAGGAGACTGTAATCGAGCCAGAGCAACCCCTTCCTGTCGTTACGGAAGTTGCAACGCAGCACGAGTACCCCGAAGAGCCGGTACCATCCAATGAAGTAGAGTTTCCTGCATTGCCAGAGAGTACTCCTTTAGAAGATGCCCGGCGACGCACTGATGTTGACCTCGAGGGTTTGGATAAATCTACAGCACCAGCAGCGTCCGATTCTCTGGAGCAAACACCTCTTCAAGAACCCGCTTCAGAAGTCCTCTCCGCCAAAGAGACTACCGTCGAGCCTATTGCGCAATCTACGGAAGTTGAACCAGTCCCCGTTCCATCGACGTCTGAGACCGTTGAGACTACAAACGAATCGCAACCACCTGTGGATGTTCCGAGAGACAAGAGAGAAGCCGTATCTGAATCTTCTTCGCCTAAGAAATCGAAGAAAGACAAGAAAAAGAAGAAGAGCAAGAAGAGTATCTCTTCAGCTGACAGCACTCCGCTGATCGGAGCTCCCGAGCTAGTCAAGGAAACTCAGAAGGCTACTGTCATTTCTCAAGAGCCTGTTGAGCAAGCTGAAAGCCAGCCGAGTGTTGAACCGGTTGTTCCACGAGAGCCAGTAGCGCCTGGAGTTGTTGACAATGAGGTATTGCGAGAAGTAGCCGACGTGTCAATGACTGAGGAGTTTTATCGACAAGTTGGACTAGAGCTTCCCAAGACCGAAGAGGCGACTACAGAAATTCCACAAGAGACGCAAGCACCGGCTACTGCCATTGACAATGTTCAGACTTCTTCTCCAGCAGAGACAGTCAGTCAGCCAGGCCGACCTACTTCTCCTCCTACAGTGCCAATTGTGGAGCAACCTACGTCCGTACCAGGTCTTGGTATTATCGATTTCCCAATGGAAAACAGCAGTCTCGATGTTGTCAGCCAAGCTCCTGAGTCTTTCACTCAAAGCGATGAAGTCAAGAAGTCCACTCAAGAGGCCAGCCACCCAACAACTGAGCCCTCCCCATCCACCAAAGCCATCCTCGGCCTCCGATCTGAAGCATTCGGCACCAAGCCTACTTCAGACGAGAAGCATGAAAGTCCCTCTCCCACCCAGTCCTCTCCGATCCTCAGTATGCTAAGTAAACTGAGAAAGGATAAGAAAGCGAAGAAGAGCAAGCGCATCTCCGACTCTACTCCGACGACTCCTGCGGCTCAATTTGATGCTGCGGTTGAGACGAAGGAAGCGGTTGTTGAGAAGCCTGCTCCTGCGCCTGTGGTTGATGAGACTGCGACGACTAAGGGGGATGTGGTTGCAGAGCCGGTTGTTCAAGCGCCTAAGAGCGAGACGAAGGAAGTCGGTCAGGAACCTGTTATGGGAGAAGCGCAAGAGTCGTCCAAGCCAGTTGCTCAGCAGCCGGTTGAGGATTTGCCTATTGCTTCCGAGACTCTTCCAACTGCCGAAAAAAGTGTCCAAGAAACGGCAGTTGAAGAGCCGCCAACACCATCGAAGAAACGTGAAAAGAAAGACAAGATGGCGAAGAAGACGGAGGCTGTGAAGGATATTTCGTCGGTTCTGCCTGAATCAAAGGAGTCTTCTCACCCCGTTGCTGCAGCCGAACCTGAAATCGTCAAGTCGGCGCCACTATCGGAGGTTCACGAACCGAGTGTGGTGGAGACAGCGCCTCCACTGATGACAGAAACAAACCTTCTCAACGACTCGCAAGACAAACAACTCGTGACGGAACAGACACTGGTAACTGAGCCAGAGCCAACTTCTTCCTCTCTCCCAGAATCCAACGAGAGCAAGCCAAAGAGTGAGGAACAAGACAAGGTTTCGGCACCTTCTGTAGTCGAACACACTCGTCAAGCACCCCTTTCATCGACTGTTGAAGATGCTCAGCGTGAAACAACCATAGACGTCGAACCACGAGCTCCCGCAGCTTCGACTGAGACAACACCCGAGAAGGACTCCCGCCGCGAGGAACCACAAGCACAGAGTTTGCCTGACAAGACCGTCGAACGCTCATCTTCATTCCAGGATCTCCATAGAGAAGACATGAGTGCTGTAGCACCAGTACCTGAGCCAGCATCTAGAACGATTACTCCGCCAGTTGCACTCGCTCCTGTACCTGCTCAAGTACCAGCAGCAGAGCAACTACCAACACTTCAAAAGAAGCCATCCAAGAAGCATAAGCTGGCCGCACTTTTTGAGAGTGGACAATCACAGGGAGGCCCAGCCGTTGAGAGAGGCTTACGCAGGGGAGCAACTGGAAGTGTGAAGAACCTCGCTGAGCAATACGAGACTCAGGCTCGATCCATAACTCCCATCTTGCCTCCCTCCCCCGAAAAGCGTCCCCGATCTCCTGTCAAGAACCCTTTTGAACCTGAGAAGCGTTCTGTATCACCCGAGAAGCGACCTCCATCTCCCGAGAAACGACATTTGTCTCGAGTCATTTCCCGCAGTCAGCTGGGTCCAGGATCACCAGGGAGATCAGATTCAAAGTCGCCAGCAAGAGAAATTGACTTTGCAGCTACCGTCGCTGCTGGTCTACGAGAGTCTGGCTTTGATCCTGGATTCGTGATCAACGACAGATCGTTCCATCGCTCAAACTCTATCTCAAGTAACCACGACATCAATCCAGATGACGATGTGTTTGCCGCAAGGGAGAGGGCCAGCAGATCCCGACTTGGAAGCTTGAGTCGCCCTTCATCCGCCTCTGGTTCGCCAAAAATGCGTTCAACTCGACCGATCGAGCCTGAGGTACTACCACCAATTGAAGTGGCTATAGGATCTGCACCCGCAGTCTCTTTTGACCCCCTAGATGTTCTCAACGACCCGATCTTCTCGGCACGAAAGTCACCTCCTGGTGTACTTGAGGAAGTCGATCCTGATGAACTGGCTGGTTATTCATCTCTTAGGAGGAACAAGGGCAACAAGAAACGCAAACCTTTGCCAGAGACGCCTCCAGAGGCCACTCCGGCCGATGTGCAAGAAGAGGCTTCGGTCGCGCCGACAAAACGAGGCAAGAAGTCAAAGAAGGATAATGAACAAGCTTTGCTTCCGCAGGACAGTGTTGAGTATGCAGCTGCAAGAACTCCGGCGATTGAGACCCTTCCTTATGGGTCTCTTGCTGTTGAGACTTCAGCTGACTCCACCGTTCGCGAAGCCAAGCATGATCAGTCTTTGCCTTTGGCGACAGCTGAAGCTTCTGACACGTCGAAGGTCCAGAACGAGTCGGCTCGCGAGATCAAGGACGAGAAAGAACAAACCAAGGAGGACACCCCTGGCCTGCCGATCACATTTGATCAGAACCCACGTTCAGTAGCTATGGGTCAGCTGCAAGAGTACCCATTCCCAAAGTTTGAGTCTGAGAAGGAGGCAGTAAAGCCTTCAATGGAAGAGTCGCACAAGAAGGAGTTGGAGAAAGAAAGAGATATGGATGCATGGGCCCCGTCTTTGGAAAAGAAGGAAGAGAAGAGCAGGAAGGGAAAGGAGAAGGTTAAGCAAGGTTTGGAAGAGATAGCATCACAAGTTCAAGAGGACCACAAGCGCAGAACCCACCCAGTGTCTTTCGATGAGGAGCAGCCAAACGAAAAGCGTCTTCACAAGTCGGAGTCTTCAGAAAAGACTAAATTTGCGGCTGAAAGAACAGCATCGCCATCACCTATGGAGGAATCAAACGAGAAGCAAGTTCAAAAGGGCAAGGAGCGTTCAACGGAGCCAAACACACCAACAGACACACGTGCAGTTCCATCGTATTCGCCCGCTCACGACAACCAAAGGGTGATTGACGACATTCCGACAAATGGCAAGGGATCTTTGCGGGCAGCCAAGAAACTACGAAGTGAACCGCAGCTTGGACGAATGTCGCCTACAAGGGAGGTCATTCAGAAAGAGCCATACAAATCGATCTTCGGTGATCCAAACGAGAAGAAGGCTGAGGTTAGTACGTCGCTTGGAATGCCAACTACCAAGCCTGAAAACGCATCCGGCAACACCCATTTGGCGTCAATTACGGAAACCAGTCCAGATGATTCTGCCTTGCGCAAGGGTTCACGATCCTGGAGTGACGTAGGTCAGACAGAGCGAGCACTCAAGTCGGCTCGTCGCAAGGAGAGTCTAAGGATGCTCTCTGATCGCCTCAGATCACCTTCGCCTCACTCTTCAACCCCTGGAGGTCCCACAAGTATACCTCCTCCAGAATATATGACTGGAAGAGTCACGCCTTCAAGGGCATCGTCAAGGGGTTCGTCAAGGCGCCGAACCAGCGATGCTGTCGATCGTGCAACAGCTCTCAGCCCTGCACGCCGGATGCCTCGCTCCTCTCCGAGCGCAGATACAATGAAGTCCGTTGGTCAGCAGCGTTCGGCCAGTGTGCAAAGCCAACGTTCTGTGGGCAACATTGCAAGGCTCAAGTCTCCAGATTATGAACGCCCCTCAAGCGCTTGGAGCAGCCATTCCTCGCACTCTCTGCGACGGGTGGATCGACAAACGTCAGGTGATCTGAGGTCAGCTTCAAGACTTGGCGAGGCCAGTGCGCAGGACGCTAAGAATGCGCAACCCGCCCTCCCGAGCACTGATGCGGCTGGGACCACAGCAGTCATCGCAGGCGCGCCGAACTACGATCCGGTCCGTGGTGAAGGCAAAGTTCGCCGCCGATCCAGTATGGCGGAAACCTTTGTAAGTTGTCTTAATGCTGATACGCCCGCTGTTTCAATTACTAACTGCCATCTCTAGGAGGCATGGGGCGAGGCTCAGGGCTCGTCCGTATCACCCTCGCGCCCTCCAAGCGTGCGCAAACGACAAAGTATGCAGATCCTGGATTTGCAGACGCAGCTTGAACAGCTTGCGGCACAAAATTCACTACTTGAGTTTTCCAGGGCAAAGGCCGAAGAGAGTCTACAAGCTACCCAACATCAGCGCCAAGTTGACGAGCAGGTGGTACAAGAAGAAATCGAAGCACGTGACCGCGAGATTTACAAGAGGGACATTGACATTGCCCAACTCAAGGATACACTCAAGCGACTACAGGAAGAGATTGCACGTCTGAAAGAGCTCAACAATTCACTGACAGAAGCCAATCGCAATCTTACCAACGATGCCAACACGCGGTACGCCCAGCTTCAAGCAGAGAACCGCAGTCTCATTGAAGAGGCCAATGCACGATACGCACAAATTGAGGCCGAAAAGCAGGCCTTGATCAACGAAGCTAATGAAAAGTATGGAAGCCTTCAATCTGAAGGGCAGATGGTTCAGGAGCAATGGCAAACCTCGCAACGAGAATTGGAACAGCTCCGCCAGCAGCATACCAGAATGCAGGAAGGGTTGGCGGAAGCAGTCCGCGACGAAATTGGAGAGGCGCTTGACCAGCGCAAGGCTGAGATTGATCGCCTGACGGCAGAGCTTGATGCCGCACGTGAGGAAATCAAGACTCTGCAGAAGGAGATTCTGGCTGCCAAGAAGCCCAGCGAAAGCTTCCTCAATGTTCGCGATGAGGATTACTTCGACAGCGCATGTCAGCAGCTGTGCCAGCATGTGCAGCAGTGGGTGCTGCGATTCTCCAAGTTCTCTGACACTCGCGCATGTCGTCTATCGTCGGAGATCCAAGCCGATACCAGGTTGGACCAGGCCACTCGTAAGAAGATCGACACCCGTCTAGACAATGCCATCCTCGATGGTTCGGATGTCGACACACTGCTTTCGGATCGTGTCAGGCGACGAGACGTCTTCATGGCAGTTACAATGACTATGATCTGGGAGTACGTGTTCACCAGGTACCTCTTCGGTATGGACAGAGAACAGCGACAGAAGCTCAAGGGGTTGGAGAAGACGCTATCAGAAGTCGGCCCACCACGTGCTGTAGCCCAATGGCGAGCTATCACACTTACCCTGCTCTCGAGGAGGGAGCCATTTGTGAAGCAGCGTGCTCAAGACACGGAGGCTGTTGTACATGAGATTTACAGCACACTCACGACGCTTCTTCCACCACCGTCAAATATGCAAAAGCAGATTCAAGAGTCTCTGCGCAACGTCATGCGCTTAGCTGTTGACTTGTCGATTGAGATGCGCACCCAGCGCGCAGAGTACATTATGCTACCGCCACTGCAGCCAGAGTACGACACCAACGGTGACCTCGTTGCGAAGGTCACGTTCAACGCCTCGCTCATGAACGAACGATCAGGCGAGACGACATCCAATGACGAACTCCAAGCACGCGGTGCGATTGTCAAGGTTGTACTGTTCCCTCTCGTCGTCAAGAAGGGCGATGATTTTGGCGAGGGCGACGACGAGGTTGTGGTATGTCCTGCCCAAGTACTAGTACAAGGGTCGAGGACCAAGAAGATGGCAAGGGTGGCGAGCGGTGCCATGTCCATTAATCGTCCGGATTCGAGGGGAAGTCGGATCAGCCGCGTCACTAGTGTTGCTCCACCTGAGAGCACCATCATGGACTATGAGAAGCCGGGAAGTAACATGTTTTAAATGCGCGGCAGATGATTTTTTTTGGTTACGACTTTCTTTTTCCTTTGTCACCCCATTGCATGCGTATGGAACTTTTTTTGGATTTGGCGTTTGGCATGTTACCCATTATTACCCTTTGAATGACTTTTCCTTGTGTTTTTTGATTTCTGGATTTTGGATGATCGAGTTATATACCAGTATTGTTTTGAGCGGATGTGTACGTCTAGTGATTGTAGGTTATATCCGGAGCTTGAGAATATGGCAGATAATGATGATTCTTCAACTTCATCCTGATGTCCTTACCCGTGCTTTGAAGACCTCGTACCTCGCTGAACTGTCAGTATTGGCGACACATGCGTCTGCGTCGGGTGTATGTCGGTTCGACTTCCTCGGCTGTCCCTTCAGCTCAAGGCGCGTTAGCCCTGTTTTAGTCGACCCCGCTTCCTTCCCCCCCTTAGCGAAGCAATTCGAGCTGCTCCTTTCCACCGTAGCCAAGCAACTCGAGCTGCTCCCTCCCATACTAGGCAAAGGGCATTTAAGGCGCATTGACACCATGTAAGATGCCCAACGGTCACTGCGATCAGCGCAGTCTACTACATACTCTCTCCTTTTTTTTCTGCTTCTACCAGTCAAGCCATCTATTGCCATCCGAAAGTCGTCCATCATGCCGATTCGAAGCGAGTGGAGCCTTGCACGCGAGGGTACGTGTCATGAAGACATTCAGCTGTTAGAATAAGTAGCCGTTGAAACATATCAATTGACGTGGTGTTTAGGAATCACCCGCGATACCTTGGTCAACCTGCTCAAGCTAACGGCCTTTAATCCTGCACTTACACTGCCAATCTTTTTGCTCGCACGCTACACGCAGCAGGGCAATTCGCTTGCATCCGAGCACTCCAATGCGTTTAAGCATTTGAAGACGCTGCTTGGCCTGGGATTGTTCAATACGGCCAGTACTTGGCTGAGCAACCGCGTCATCAACAACTGGACTAGCGACAAGTATTACTGGGATCGCGAGGTTGTCGTTGTGACTGGTGGTAGTGATGGAATTGGCAAGATTGTCGTGCAGCTGCTTGCTGAGAAGGGGATTAAAATCGCTGTGCTGGATGTCCAGGACTTGACGTATGAAGGTATGTCTGACGTACCGATTAGTTTTCTTCAACTTTAATTGCAAGGAGGAGAAGGAAGAAGGACATGTCATGCTAACAACCTTCTCAGCACCCCCATCCGTCAGCTTCTTCAAATGCGACCTCTCGTCCCCCAAAGCCATTGCAGAAACCGCCTCTGCTATTCGCGCCGCCCTCGGCAACCCGACCGTCCTCATCAACAACGCAGGCGTCGCCCGCGGCAAAAACATCCTCGAATCCACGGAAAAAGACATCAACCTCACCTTCCGCGTCAACTCGATGAGCCACTACTACCTCGTACAGCAATTCCTCCCCCACATGATCAGCACCAACCACGGCATGATCGTCACCGTCGCCTCCCTCGCATCCTACCTCCCCGCGCCCAACATGGTCGACTACTGCTCCTCCAAAGCCGCCGCCCTGACCTTCCACGAGGGCCTCTCCACCGAACTCGTAAACACGTACAAGGCGCCCAAGGTGCGCACCGTGGCCGTGTGCCAGGGCTACACGCGCACCGCGCTCTTCGAGGGCTTCGATCCCACCGGCGCCCTCTACCCGGAGACGGTGGCCGAGTCGATTGTCAAGGCGGTGCTGAGCGGAAAGAGCCAGCATATCGTTCTGCCAGAGAATGTGTGGGGCGTCGTCCCCAAGCTCAGGGGTTTCCCGCTTTGGATCCAGTATGGCATTCGGAAGAGGCTCGGTGGCCTGATGAAGGAGTGGAAGGGCCGCCAGGTTGTGCAGCCGAGTGAGGTGGCCGAGAATGGCCAGGAGAAGAAGGTGGATGAGAGTACGGTGTTTGTGGGTAAGGAATAGAAATGCGTTGGGAGGGGGGTGAGGTTGTATATAACTTGGATTGTTGAGGGGGGGAAGAGGGGGTGTGTGTGGTTTCTTTGGGTCAGGGTTTATCGGGGTGAGGGGGCGGGGTTGCGTTGAGGGGAAAGGGGTTGTTGTATTTGGCCTTTTTTTTTTGGTTGGAATTAGTTTTCGTATCTTTATATCCAATACGCGAAGTCTTTTGAACGTATTTCTTCTTTCATGCTTGATATGAAACTTTAAAAGTGGGAGAGAGAGAGAGGATTGTTTTCTTTTTTTTTTCTCTCTTTTATATCGGTGATTGTGTAGAGTAGTAGATTTAAAGATAATTCGGATAATTATTTATAGTGATAACTTTTCCAGCGTCTTTTTTGACCCTCTGCTTCGTTCCCCCATTTTACCCCTTCCTCTCTCTCTCTCTCTCTTTCTTATCCAAAATGCCAAGTCTTAAAGACTTGAAAAAATTAGTTTCCCTCGGCCGCCAAGTGGTCACGCTTACAAATATAATTACCCTGACGCTTATTTTGTTTTTCCGACAGTGCATAGTTACATACAATATGCCTGTCTCTTTGTCGCTGCTTATGATATTTGTGGATTTTGCTGCGAGTCACAGTTATTTGAAGGGGCGACACGGAAGAATACCAATATAGCTTAGCTCCGCCTATGAACGTTGTCAGACCAATCTTACTTCCTGACAAAAAAAAAGGGGGGGGGGGTACATGTAAGTTAGGATTGGCCGTCACTCGTCAGTATAGGGCAGTAGGTAGCGCGTAGGGTTGTCTGTTTAGCGGTTTTGTAGCGCGTGACGTTGCCGCAGGGAAAACCAGATTAGAGTTTGAAATCGAAATGACAAAAAGAACTCGGGTTGATTGAAATGGCCATGTATAGACTGCTGCACTTTTGCTAGTGAAAAGCTGTGGGAATCGTTTCCCTTGTCAATTCGACTGCAAGTGGACTGGGGCATCTGCTTGTCGGCTAAACATCTTTTTTCTACGACTCATCTTCGAGTATTTTGTTTCTTTCTATCTCGCTGAGTATCCTTGTAGTACTTGTTGGCTGAGTAGCGAGTGCACTTGCACTTGCAAACAGACCACTTACTTAATCTATGGGATGATAGAAACGATTGCGGTTACTCTGCTATAACGTCTTGCACTGGGGTTTTCGAGCGTAAAACCGTTAATACCAGTTGCAGGTATTATGCAATATGATCTTCGAAGTTGAATAGGGTACAGTGCTTGGGTTAAGCCCATTGCGGGAATCGCCTAAAAGAATACTTATCTTAGGCTATGTATCCGGTGATAAGTTAATGGTATTTCCTCGCACCATTATAGGAGTAGGCTATTTGTTCTTGAGAATTTGGCAGCTTAAAATCTAAAAGCCAGTCTTGTATTGATGGTGGCCAGAAGAACCAATGATGTTATGATATCGCTGCAAATATGTTTTTGCCTCACTGAGCTTTGGGTTTTAACAACATTCAGACCAATTTTTGTAAAAATTTTAACATGGGTGATAATAGAACCTTCGTGTTAATATGGAATAAAAGGTTTACGGCCAGCTGAAGTCTACATCAGAAGGTAGCAATCAGCATAGAGCATAGCTTATTTAACCTGGAAGTATACTCAGATGATTTATGTAGATCAGTAAAATACAGAAAGAAAACAGGTGACATGATTACGTTTCCTCTCATGATTGCGTAGATCCTGGCAGTCCCCTACTAGTGAACGGACCTTCCCCCAACTACGCAGCGCTATCGACAGCCGAGGCCAACGTTCCTAGAAGCAGGAATGAGTTGAAGTAAGTGCTCTAATGCTACAGCTGTGACAAATTTTCAAGTAAAGCCAACATATGTTTCCTTGCTGTTAGATGCCTGCCTCGTGTTCGAGAGTCCATGACAAGCCCCCTTGCGCCACGTAGATCCATCACACTACTCCCTCAAATGCCAACACGAGGCCAAGAAGACATTACCACCAAGCATCGACTATCATCCCTATGCTCATCAGCAGGGCAAACATACAATTATATCACTGTGAAATAACTTGCGAATTTGACATCCAAAGGTCACCCCATCTAAATCGCTATCACAACCATCATGATTCTATCATGGCTCATCTATTTCCTTCTCCAGCACCCCAACCCTAGCACCCCATCGCCTTCCCAAACTACCCCTGAACAACAACTGTCCGCATCTTGAAACCTTTCGAAAATGCCTCACGTTATCATACATATTTGCCAACAAAAAAAAAACTCGTTAAATAAACCGGGCTTCGATAAAAGCAGCCCTCCCTTCCGCTCGGAATTTTCTCGGGAAATCCGCAGCGTGCGTAGTCACCCTCTTGCTATTCCATATTAGGTATAGCGCATGAGCGGATAAGCAGTGCGGCTCGTCGCCTCCGCGGTTAGTGTGAGTGTGAGTGTACACTCTGTCGGAAGCGAACGTATATCTGACGGGGCGATTAGAGGTGCCAAGGCCCGAGAGATATCCGGGTGTTTGGGAACGTGTGAGTGCATGTGTCAATGGCATCGTACGAAGAAGGGTGGAAAGGGTTTTCATTTGCTGATGGAGAAATTGGAAAGAAGTATATATGAAGGGAGGGAGAGCACGAGCGGTTTGGGTTTCTGCATCAGTAGATTTCAAGGTGGTTTTCTAGCCTCTCTTTTTTCGAGCGTCTCAAGTAAGACTGGGAATATATCAACACTTGGATCTTTATCATTCTGGTATCTTTTTCAATCTATAATAACTACTTCGATATAGGACCCTCGAGTGGTCCTCAACTATACCCACCATGGCTGCAGAAGGCATCCGATTCCCAGCATCAAGGGACCTTGCTGATGCTCCCTCGCACTCTCCTTATAACGACAACGATGCTGCCTCCGAAAGCACAACGGTCGAACCACTCCACCGAGCCCCAACAGCCGAAGATCTCGTCAACCTCCCCACACGTATCCTATCCAACAATGCTGCTCTAGAAGAATACACACAAGAAACAGTCTCAGGACAGATAGTGCGAGAAGTGCGATCCAACGCCGGCAAGGTGGAAAAGTACGACTTGGTCACGTTCGTCGTGGACGACAAGGAGAACCCCAAGAACTGGAGCAAGGCGTTCAAGTGGTGGTGCACAATGTGTGTCGCTTTGACATGTTTCGTCGTGGCATTCAACTCTGCTGTTATCACGGCCGATCTTGAGGGCGTGAGTGCTGAGTTTGGAGTCAGTGAGGAAGTGTCTCTTCTCACCATTACGCTTTTTGTCGTGGGATTTGGTGTTGGTCCTATGGCTTTTGCGCCTGCGTCGGAGATCTGGGGGAGGAGACCTGTATACACTGTTACACTCGCAGTTGCCGTCATCTTTACGATTCCTGGTGCCGTCGCAAAGAACATTGGTACTTTGTTGGTCACTCGGTTCATTGCTGGTGTGGCTTTCTCGGCGCCCATGACACTTGTGGGCGGCACATTGGCGGATATGTGGAGGTCAGAAGAGAGAGGTGTACCCATGGCTGTGTTTTCAGCAGCTCCTTTCTGTGGACCGGGGGTTGGCCCCCTAGTTGGTGGCTACCTTGGTGCAGCTGGTGGCTGGCGCTGGCTCTACTGGATCCAGCTCATCCTCAGCGGTATCATATGGATCTTGATCTCATTCACGGTCCCGGAGACGTATGCGCCCAAGATTCTCGCGAATAGGGCAAAGAAGATGCGCAAGGAAACTGGCGACGACAAGTACGTCACAGAACAAGACCTCGATATGCGACCTTTCAGCCAGCGCCTCCAGCTATTCCTCCTGCGGCCATTCCAATTGCTCTTCCGCGAACTCATCGTCTTCTTAATCTCCTTGTACATGTCCGTACTGTATGGCCTTTTGTACATGTTCTTCGTTGCCTACCCCATTGTTTATCAGAAAGGCAAAGGTTGGGGCGCAGGACCGACTGGGCTAATGTTCATTCCACTCATTTGTGGTGTTTTCCTCTCTGCTGCATGCGCGCCCCTCGTCAACAAGCATTACATCAAGCTCTCGGAGAAGTACAACGGTCACCCGCCAGCGGAAGTACGCTTGATTCCCATGATGTGCTCATGCTGGTTTATTCCGATTGGTGTCTTCATCTTCGCTTGGACAAGCTACAAAGACCTTCACTGGGCTGGCCCTGCATTTGGAGGCGGAGCGGTCGGTCTTGGCTTCATCTTCCTTTACAATGCGGCAAACAACTATCTAGTCGATTCGTACCAGCACCAGGCAGCTTCTGCGCTGGCCGCCAAAACATTCTTGCGTAGCTTTTGGGGCGCCGCGGTCGTTCTGTTCACAAATCAGATGTACGACCGCCTTGGAGACCAATGGGCAAGTTCTTTGATCGCTTTCATCGGTCTTGCTTGCTGTGCAATCCCCTTTGTGTTTTACTTTTACGGTGCAAGGATCCGGGCTCACTCGCACTACGCATATAGCGAGGAGGCCGAGAACAAAGATGAGAAGCAGGTTGTGTAAGTGGCGATCAAGAAAGGTGGTGCGGATACGTCACGTGACGACATGATGCATTGTCTGGCGCGAGTAGTGTTTAGCTGTGGGGAATTCCTTTTTCTAAGTTGCATTGCATGGCGTTTGGAGGGATTGTATCGAATATAATCCTCTTTGTATGTATTTAGCATTCAATAATCATCCATACTCAATCGTTGTCTTCGTTCCTGTCTTCGCGTTACGCCCCCCGGCCAAGAGGTGGTAAAACTGTGAGTGAAAATCGACATATTGACTCATAGGTTAGCAAATTCTATAATTTGACGCGTGGATCTTGGAGCGCGGTGATGTCATATGTGAGGGTAATGATGAGGATTGTCGAGGAAGATTTGGGTACGAGCCAGCGACAAATCGCGTGACTGGCTGGGCCGGATGCCAGCCGGCGATCCTGAAGTTACCGGAGTGGGGCTTCAGCGAGCGGAAAGCCCGAGCGAACAACACTCCACCAAGCGCGCCTATCCGGCCCATCTTGACTTTCCACGACTTTCCCCCGAGCTTCGACCATGGACGAACTCAAAGACCAGCACAATCCACATGCGCCAAATGGATTTAGTATGCAAGACACGCCACCACGAGCTGATGTGGATGAGATCTTGAGACGGAAGCGGAAAGCGAGAGAGTACAAGGTACGCTATTCGGATGCGTCGTGTGCAGTGTAGAGTGTAGGAATGGAGCGCATGGAAGAGCGAGAGATATGGAAAAGAGGAGGTCGCGATGGCTGCTAGATGTTAGCACCGGGAGTTGCAAGCAGACGGCCTCTCTGGTTTACCGAATTGGGCTATACGACCCGGCGCATTCTGGCCTGTTAGGAACCACGGCCCCACGGAGATGCGCTGACTCTTGATTCTTCTATAGGCTTGTTATCCGTGTCGACAACGCAAGGTCAAATGCGACCAAAACGTGCCATGCAAGACGTGTGTTGTTCGCGAACATCCTGAACTATGTACCTACCACCCACCCAGCGAGTCGCACCCGCCTGCGAAACGGATAAACCTCGCCGTCGGGCAGAGCAACGGACACGACTTTTCCAACGGCCTGGTTCATATACATGGCGGTACCGTCACACTGCCACGAGAGGTGCGCTTATGAGTACAAAGGGGAATGAGACGCAGACTGACCGTGGCAGGACTGGGAGCGCATTTGTGGCAAGCTGCAGCAGGCTGAGAAGTCGCTCAACGACCTGAAGAACGCTGTAGGCAGTGTCGCAGAAATACCGCCACCCGTGAATGGTTTCTCACCAGGAGATGGATCTGGAAACACACCCTTGGCTGCTGCAGCGCCCATGGACGGCGAACAAAGCCACGTTCGAACGCAAGGGATACACACGCGCAACGACATCACTGGCCAAACAATACACATCGGGCCCAGCTCAGTCCCGGCTCTCGTCATGGCTTTGGGAAGGGGGGACACGCAATGGGCGCCGGGAGTACAGGATTTGTTAGGCAAGAAAAGCATGCTGCCAATATTTGGGCTGGACAACGAGAGTGCTACATATCCGTTTGTCGATCTATGGGGCCTGCCTCACGGATCGATACTACGCGCTCAAGAGCTGGCCAATGCCTTACCGAGCGACTCTGAATGTCTGAGTTTCTTCCGGAGTTATCGCGAAACCGCACACGCAGTCTATCCCGCCGTGGCCGATATTGAAGCCATCGAATCTGATCTCTTACTCTTTCTGATCAACCGCGCAAGTTCACAGGGCAACAATGGGGTAACCGATCAGCAGATCCACGGCAAAGACTTCCACTGGATAGGTCTTGTTTTTGCGATATTGGCATCAGGATGTCAATGTTCCAACCTTACAAGGAGAGAACGGGAGCTGACCTCGCAGGTCTATGTATGCTGCAGCTTCGAGTGCTTACGCTTCACCAACTTTCTGTCACATGCGAACATCGAAAACATACAAACCCTCCTTATTCTTGGAAACGTCATCTCGAACAACATGAATGCCGGGGTCGCTTGGAGTCTGATGGGCTTGACTGTTCGCCTTTCCCAGACACTAGGATTACACCGACAATGCCCACCATCAACACCAGTGCAACAGAAGGTCATTCGGAGCAAGGTGTGGTGGGCACTGCTTTGGCAAGACTCACTACTTTCTGTTTCATACGACAGGGCTTCGTCAACCACTACCATCGACCACACGGTACCAATGAGCCAGCACACGGCGCCAGGCACAAGAACATATGTCGAGAGCATGTATCGCTTGTGCAAAGTAGGTCTCGACATTGTGCGCGAGCGCCAACGACCACAAAACTCGCACGATGCTTTGATGAGGATCACCGAGCATCGGAACGAGCTTCAAGAAATCATGATAGATGCAGCAGACTATCTAAAAGATTCGAGAAGATGCCGGTCTATGCGAGATCAACTGGAGCACTGGGCATTGTATCTCCACATTTCATATGTCACTTCGGAGCTGTGTCGACCAGCCATCAGTCCAGCCACAGCCAATTTTGACCTTTCGAAGACACTGCGCAAGACATGCATCGACAGTCTGACCAATACTGTTGAGGCTTTTCTCGGTCTTCAAAACATGACACCCTTTGCAACACGATCGTGGTCTGCCGTGCACCGCTCTCTCAGCTCAGCCCTTTTGCTTGGAATCCTCGGTGAGCACAATCGTAATGAACGTGCACGGGGTCTTTTGCAGAACGTGATACAAGTCCTCACGGATGTTACCAAGGATGTCGACCCTGCTGAGCTCGCGACGCCTATTACAAGATCTGTCTCGGCGCTTGAGCGGCTGCTCAGTATCACATCAACACACACACGCAAGACCAGCGAGACCGGCTCGCAAGCGTCGCCCACCATGCACGTCTTTACGGCGCACGACATCAACAACGCACTTAGTAACGACAATGACAACATGTTCTCCCAGTCTCCACTGCTTGGTTTGGATCTGGACTCTTCTCCATATGCCCTCATGGAAAGCATTGTATGGGGCGCGCAAAAGTCGCCATGAGAGAACAGGTGCGGGGGGAGGATGTACTGGCAAACAAAGGCGATTCATGATACCCAAATAGGCTTAAAGGCGGCAGCCCGGGACGGAGTGGGCGATGGAAATTGCAACATCCCTGGCTTCTTTTTTGTTTTTTTCTTGTTCCCGTGTTCATGTAACGGCCAAAAAAGCGAGCAAGTATTTTTTGTGTAGTTTTGCAGTAGCGATGGGATAGAGACTATGACAGTGTATCTGTCTAGGAGTGACGGACGGATCGGCGTGCCGAGGACACGAAAGGAATAATTAAAATAGTTGGCACCAGTGCTTTACTGGTTCTATGTACAATGGTGCTTGGCAAAACACATGTCTGTGGTACTTGGCTTGGATGGTGGGGAGTGCTTGCTGCCTGCCGCTAGGCCAGCATGACGTTGCTTAAGCGAGCTATTGCATACCGGACCCTTGCCGTCGTGATGATTGCACGCCTCTGCCTTGTAGCCCGCGCCTGTCGCTTTTTCCTGGATGGGCCTTGACGCGCAGTTTTCCTCGAGTTTACGACCAGCTCAGCTCGTCATCGTATAACCATACCGCGTCCTCGCCATGTTCATGCTCCGAAACCGTGAGTGCCGCTTTGTTTGCTCGTTTCTTGCTCTCACCGGCGCATGCCCCTCCCCCGCCGTTGCTGCGACGACACTAACTTTGTAACACCAGTGGGTAAACTTGTCTTTGGTGATAACTCCAAGGAAACCATCGTCGAAATCCCCCAGGGCCAACTTTATCTTGTTCGACCTCGCTCTGTCAAGGGCTATTCGGAGCTTATCTTCAAAGACGCCGCTGCCACCATCCGCCGCACGGGACAAGAGTTTCAGTACCAGCTCGTTGTCCAGCGCGCATACGAGGAGGGTGAGGAGGATCTACTCGCCGAGGAGGACGAGGACGCAGCTTTAGACGCGCTAGCTGGAGACAAGGACGAGAAGACTTTCCTGCTTGACGAGGACCTCCGATTGCGCGACGACGTACGCTCCACCGGCGAGAAGATCTTTGCCTGGCGTGACCTGAGTGGCGACGTTGACGACCTCTGGGAGTTTGTCTGCGACCCCTCAGTCAAGCCAGAGACTGCTGCCCTCTTTGAGCGTGTTGCCCTGCAGTGCCAGTACGAGAGAAAGTTCAGGCGAAATCACGAACACGCGACTGAAGACGACCTTGCTGCACTCGCCTATTACGAAGAGCCCATTCCTGACGCGAGCCCTCTTGCTAGCCCCACAAGTTCGACCACCTTCGTCCGACCGATCGAACTTCCAACCACCGAAGACCTCTTTCCAAACACTACAAAGGAAAACATGAAGAAAAAGGTTGCTGGCAAGGCCGCTGTTCCAGAGCAGGAAGATGCCACCACTGCTCCACCATCTGCCGCGCAACCGCAGGCCCTCGAAACCTTGGTTGAGGGCGATGCCGAGCTCCACCTCTTTGATTTTCCCTCGGGCATGTTCATTAGACAGGATCCCAAGGTCAATGTGACTGTGACGGAGATCGGCGACTGGAACTACTGGTTACACATTGTTGGCGAGGAGCGCGAGTGGCTTGGACAGCCCATTGTGGAGGATATCAATCCAGTATTCAACTATGAATACAAGTCATTCATCTTCAATCACTATCTGGAAGACGGCTCTGCATACTCATGGCTTCTAAAATTCAACCAACAAGAAGAACTTGAGAACGTACAGCAAGGTGTCATGCAAGCACTTTGGGAGCATTTGAACAAGATGAAATGGGGCAAAGCAAAGGACACCGATCGTGAGTACGTTCTGGAAGCATTCCAGGATTTGACCATGGAGGATGTTCCCGAAGAAGAGGAGGAGGAGGAGGGAGAAGAGGAGGAATATGAGGAAGAAGACGAGGATACCAACGACCAGCGTAGTGAACACTATGATTCAGACGAGTCTGAGGACGACGTCGAGACTCGTCCCAAGGATGGAGATGAGAATTCGCAGTTGGCTGTAGGCTACAAGCATGACAGATCGTTCGTTGTCCGAGGCGATAAGATAGGTGTTTTCAAGCACACTCCCGACAATCAGCTGCAGTTCTCCACCACTATTTCAAACATCAAAACTCCAAAAGGCAAAGCTTTCAATCCCCACAAAGTAATGCTTCATCAACAGGATCGAGATATGATTCTGCAAAACTTGGAGAACCCGAACAACCTCTACCGGATGGATCTTGAGACCGGTACTGTTGTGGACGAATGGAAGGTGCATGACGACATTCCGGTCAAGGTCTTTGCACCAGAAAACGTACGTAAAATTATGATATTCAGAAGCTGCATCGCGAACTAACGGCTCATAGAAATTCGCTCAAATGAGTGGCGAGCAAACCTTCCTGGGTCTTTCCGGCAACGCCCTCTACCGTGTAGACCCTCGCTTGGCTGGCAACAAGCTTGTTGATGACCAGCTAAAACAATACGCCACCAAAAATGCGTTCTCTGCGGCTGCTACTACCGCCAAGGGTCACATTGCTGTAGCGTCCGAGAAAGGAGATATCCGCCTGTTCGACAGGCTTGGTATCAACGCAAAGACTCTTATCCCCGCGTTGGGAGATCCAATTATTGGTATGGATGTCTCTGCAGACGGTCGTTGGGTACTCGCTACTACACGAACCTACCTTCTTCTAATCGATGCGCTTCAAAAAGGCGGCAAGAACGACGGAAAACTTGGGTTCGAAAAGTCATTCGCTAAAGACGATAAACCACAACCCCGTCGTCTCGCACTCACACCAGCACACGTTGCCCAATTCCAACACGAAACCAAACTTCCGATCTCCTTCACTACTGCACGCTTCAACACGGGCCTTGATGAAAAAGAAACCACCATCATCACGGCTACTGGTCCCTTTATCGTTACCTGGAGCCTCAAAAAGGTTCTTGCTAATCGCAAGGATCCGTACAGCATCAAGCGCTACTCTGAAGAGGTCAAGGCTGACAACTTCAAGTTCGGCTCCGATAAGAATTTGATCGTTGCACTACCAAATGAGGTTGATATGGTTGCGAAGAGGGCACTGCAGCGACCAACGAGAGAGAGTATCGCAACAGCGAGTCGCGTTGGAGCTGCAAGGAGGAGTGGAGTGCGAGGAAGCTACCTCGGTCGAAATGATATTGTCAACAGTCCTTATTAAGTTCTGTGACAGGGTGCTAGGTATATCAACTTCCGCGGAAGAGATTGGGAATGGTGTTGGTGAGGATTCCCACCAGCATAGGCCGTGGGTGTTGGCGTTGTGTTACTTTTCCTTATTCCCTGTTTCTAAGCCATGCGGAAATGCGCTGCTGATAAACTGGGCTACGTAGCGATTCCTTTCCCCTCACAAAGATATTGGTGTAAGGCCTATGAGAGACGATATAGTGATTCCCGCATCCGACCCATACCTCCATTGTCCCTCTAATGGACAAAAATGAGACCAATAAAGTTTTCGAAATGGACATGCTCTTTGCTCTTGCCTCACCACGATAGATAGGAAGATAAGCTGTTTAGATAAACATGCAGCAGGGATACCAGGGGGAATGACGTGCTTGCCCAGCGTAACCTCACCTGTTCCTTTTGTCACACGTTGCACCATCGCCCCCCGTGTTTAAAAACCAAGATGCCGCAAAAATGGCACAACATAACGTTACAGGAAAGCCCAATACAGTAGTTTAGCCCAAACCAATCACAACAGCCACAAAATAGCTTACTCGTCGACTCCGGGGAGTCTTGGCGGATACCTCGATTCAACCTCGGCACATCGACAAAACATCTCCACATCATACCGCCCCAGTTTCCCTCGCTCCCACCCCCGAACCTCGCTCCATAAGACGTCAACCCCGGGCCTATTTCTTTTCCCGTCCCTTCTTCACTGCCCTCACGAAACACGCGCGCACACAACCACGCACCCACACACACATACATATATATATACATACGCGTACATACGTACCCGGCTTTATCAGTGCCTACTACTACTACTACTACATATAATCCCTAATCTCACCCTCGCAACCGATTTAACCCGAGACGTAACACTCACACACATACATACGCCGCGTGCGCATTACACACACACACGACACAAACATTCACCATGTCGGAATCCCTGACCGCGAAGCAAGTCGCCGAGCACAACACGGTGGAGACGGGCTTGTACATTATCATCGATGGCGATGTGTACAAGATGGATAGTTTTGTCGACGAGCATCCTGGTGGCTCCAAGATTCTGAAGAGGGTGGGTGGTAAGGATGCTAGTAAGCAGTTTTGGAAGGTATGTGTCTTTTTTTTTTTTTTATCTTTTTGAGAAGGGGAGGGGGGGGAGTTTATGCGCGCTTTTTGTTTTTCGGTTTATGGGGGGCTGGGTGTGGAAAGCTAACGTGTTTATGCGATGATAGTACCATAATGAGCATGTGCTCAAGAAGTATGCGCCTAAGCTTAAGATTGGGAGTGTGAAGGAGGAGGCTAAGTTGTAAGTTGTAGTAGATGTGCAATATGAGATTTTGAGAGTTTATTTTTTTCGTACTACGTACGCCTTTTTCTTCTTCTTCTTTTTTTTTGGGCTTTGTCGCTGAGGTTGTTGTGTACACGCATCATGATCTGGTTGATGTAGAGCGAAATTAACACTATGCATACTTGATGAAATGATCAATACTAACTACAAATTACAAAAACTTCGGTCCTCATCTTCTAGCTTCTAGGTAACGCAACCGTGGTATAATGCTTTCTTCCTTCCCCCCCCTTTCTCTCGTTCATTCTTTCTCTGCCACCGCTAATAATGGATGAAAAAAAAAGAGACTTTGCACGCAAAACATATAAATGCCGTGGGTATCGTGATATGAGAAAAGAAAAGAAGTAAAATGGAAATCCCCGAACAACCAAAAAACCCCCCCAAAAAAAAGAACTGACCCGGAAAAGGGAACCAAAACAAAAGATACGCCTTTGCTATCTCGATTTGCAGCGATTAGCGGAAAAGGAGAAGAAAACAGGGGGAAGGGGATAGTAATGTTAACGCCGAGCAAACTCCTTCATTGCTGCGTTAAAAAAAAAGAGAGAGAGCGAGATATAGCAGATAATAGCGCACTGTAGGAATCCGAAGAAAAAGGCGCCATAGTGCCTTTCCCTGCATCGTCATCATTGTCGTAATCCGCTTCAGCACACCAAAAGAGGCTAAAAGCACGTCCACCTCTTCCTGATGCCTGGTCTTGACGCAGGCCTCGGGACCGGGCTAGTCCTAGGTCTCGCGCCTTGGTGTTGCTTCTCCTTGATGGCTTGTAGATCAAAGTCGGCTTCTTTGCCATCGTCTTCCTCGTACTCGTCGTTGCTAATGCGATAGCGCCGCACAGACCCAGCATCTTCATCTGTCTTGCTGTAGAATTTTTCCTGGGGGCCAGACACGCATCGAGGCGTTATTCTGCGCAAGAAACCGCGGAGGCCGCTGTTTGCCTTGTCGATTCTTTGGTACTCGCGTTGGCGCGTGCAAGGGGATGTCCAGTGCATAGTCGTGTTTGTTTTTTTGGCAGCAGCGCTGGTGGCGTCGTCATTGAGAGGGGTGGGCTCGGTGGTGGGGCGGGTGTGATGCGCGTCGGATTCTTGGACGACGCGCAGAGTGTCGGTGCTGAAGCGCGTGGTGCTGGTGTTGCTGGGGAAGCCAAACGCGTCGCCATGGGAGAGTGTGGGTGAGGGAAGACCAGAGTGGGATTGATAAGAGGGATTGGAGAAGATGCTGCAGCTGCGGAAGTGGAGGGCCAGTACGTCGTCGATGTCGGCTGTGGGTGGGGTTTGGAAGCTTTTAACGCGGTAGTGGCGCGCTGGTCGTGAAGGGTCGACTATGGTGCAAGACGTACGCCTGGACGAGGGTTTTGAGCCATGACCGCGGCTTTTGGATCGGTTGGTTGAGTTCTCGGATGAGGTTGTGGATTGCTGGCGTAGAGGTCTTGAGCGCTGCTCTGATACGGGTCGACGGGTTTCCATATTCGCGACTTGGACAGAAGACGAGGTTGACTCGAGAGCCGATTTCTTAGACTTCCGTTGGTGGATAGATGTCGTGTTGCTCCTGTGAAGCAGCACTGGTTTTTCGCTGGCCATGTTTGAATGTTGAGATCCAGCGAATCCACTATCTATTCGGTCCATTGTCGATCCATGTAAGAGGACGGTTCAGAAGCAGCAAGAAAAAAAGGGCCGTGACGTAGACGTCCGATATATTGAACGTTAAGATGCCGTTAATATCGACTTAGTCGTTGATAATTTCGGATACTCGTCTGCTTTGGTAGTTAGTATCCAAATCAGGCAAGTTCTGTGCTCAAGGGGTAAGACGCCCATACCAGCAGCCAGTGCCAACACGAGATGTGAAACAGATAGAATATTGTAACGGCGCAAACGGACGAAAAACCTCACTCATAGACAGGCGCGGGAGAGAGTAAAAAAGAGAGAAGTAGAGACGCAGAGCAGAAGAGAAGAGGCCGAAGTCGCAACGAGGATATGCGAACACCAAGTAGTTTGTTTGGGGGCCCAGTCAAGTGACGCAGTAGTATGCGAGACTCGCCTGGAAACTATTGGAATCAACCGACACGATCAGGTAGACAGGCGAGGCGGCTACGGCTAAGTATATAGAGAAGCGGCTCCGGAGGACCAAAACGTAAACGTGAGTCGTTGGTTGGTTGGTTGGTCCAGACCGTACCTAGTAGGATGCAGCGCGACCGAACGGTCTTGCAACAAAGCGTTTTCCGCGGCTGCTGAGCCGAGCGCGTGGGCGGGCTGTAGCGAGGAAAAAAAAAAGGTCCCAGTTCACCGCCTCACAAGATTGGTTTTGTCGTGCGTGGGGACAAGGTATTTGAAAGCAGACTTAGTGGAGCGATATGAGAAATAAAACTGGGGGAGGGGATTTGTGGTTAGCTTCCGTGCGTCGTGAGACAAAGCATGACGGGTGCACTAAATATGCCACAGATGAGGTCGCACGCAATCGTAGAAGGAGAGTTTAAACAAAGCGAGTGTCTCTCTTTCGGCAAGTAGGGTGACGATGCCATTGTGCTTGACATGTGAAAACGTATGTGTGAGTGGGTGGGAGGGCAGATAACGACAACGAGGCGGATTCATAGGCTGGCTGTGGCTGGCCTTGTGACAGGTTGGGGTAAGGGATGTGCGGTCCCAAGGGATATCAAGTGGCAAGGAGCAGCAGCCTCGTGTACTGACTAGAGCCACACTAGATAGGCCGGCTGGAAGTCTGCATGGACGGCGGGAAGGACCGAATCAATCAAGAGAGCGACACACCAGTCATCGCGAGGCCAAGATGCACGCACACGCGCCCGACTCAGCAACTTACCTGGCGCGGACAACGTTGATGGGTGAAGGGCAAGGCTACCGGTAGTAGTGTTACGCATGGCACACGCGTAGTCGACGGTGGAGGGGGGGAGTAAGGAAGGGAGGGAGGGGCCGTAAGGGTCGCGACACAAGGACCAAATCCCACACTGGCGGGACGGCGTTTGCATGTGTGCAGTGCATGGGCCTAAAGATATACTTACATCTGTACCTTTTTTTCCCCCTTCCCTGCTTAAGATTTGCCGCCAGGTGGCTGTCAAGCGCATGGAAACGCGGCCCGCCGTCTTACTGCTTACAGGCCCCTCTCCGCTGCACCCAGGCGTGTAAAAAATAGCCAAGGGGAAAACGAGAAGGAGAGGGCGCCAACAGGGCCCCCGCCAATACTTACAGCAGACCTGGCGCAGGGACTGGCGCCAATGATCATGTCATGCGGCGTAGCATACCAGCATCCACACCCACGCCCCCAAGATTGCCGGCACGGCTTACTGGACTTGGCTAGCAGTAGTTGCATGCAGTCTTCTGGGAGATCGGCTTCGCACGTGCGCTTCTCACGAACCCGTCGTCGATTCCACGGGCACACACTCCGCGAAGGCTGGGCGACCAAAAGAGCGGTATGATTTGGCACCTGTTTTGTTGCTGACCCGCCCTCATGATGGCCATTGCTCAATAACACACATCTTCACACAGACACATTGTCCAAACTTTCCTTCTCCCCGCCGTTGCTCACCGTAACGCTTGGTTCGTGCATCGTTCTACGTTGATAATGACCTCCTTGTTCACTGGATCTCGTGGTAAAACGCCTCAATCATGCTGGCGACCTGTTCGAACGCTTCGAGACAGTGCCAATGCCCGATCCCCTGCAGAATCTCCAGCTTCTTCTCGCTACTGCCAATCTCGTCAAACATCTTCTTGCAACCCTCCAGCGGCGCACTCTTATCTTCCTCGCCCGCGAGAATAAGTACAGGCACGCCGATGTCGCCGTACTGAGGCACCTTTGCATTAATGATGACTCGGCAGTTGGATACGTAACCAGCTGGGTCCTGTGATAAGAGCAATTCGCGGATCATCGCTTTAGCAAGCGGGGAAGCTTTGCTTCCCACTGCTGCTTGCGGGATGCTATCTGCCATGGGCTGCATGCCTTCTTTTTCCACAGTCGCAATCCGTTCCTCGAAAATAGGTCCTACTACCGGGTTGGGATAGACGGGGCCGATAAGGATGGCTGCAACAATGCGGTCACTACGCTCAGCAGCAAGATGCGCGCCCACGATACCGTAGCAGAAGTTAGCTCATCATCTCTTCATCTTTTTTTTTAAGAACTCCCCCAAAATGCTTGATTGTGCTGGGCGCAAATGGGAAACGTACCCTCCCATGCTGTGCCCCACAAAGACGGCCTTGTCCACCTTCAGGACATCCAAAACGCCGACAACATCCTCGCCCAGTGTTTCAATACTTTGCTCGACAAAGGTATATGGCGAGCGTCCAGCGCCGGTGTTATCAAAGGTTATGCAGCGGAACCCGCTGCTAACCAGCTTCTGGCATACTGCATAATAGTAGTTCTGCGACGAGCCCAGACCATGCGTGAAGATTAGTGTCTCTCGTGTCTTTCTATTAGCCGGCGCCAGATCCGCATAGTGAATCCGCTTGTATCCAAGTTGAAGAAATGGCATCGTAGGCTTGCTGTGTGTATATGTAATGTATGTGATCGGCGCAGGTTTAGAAACGTGTTCGGTTTATTACAGGACTCGCCCGAAGCCGCAAAAAAAGCGGGATGATCACTTGACGTCATTTTTCTGGGATTGATAATGGCTTCGATAAGGGGTCTACACTACACAACGACTTCTGCTCATGGAAAGTCAAACGCCACTTGTTGAAATTTGATGACATGTCGAAAAAAAAAATACACTCACCGGGCTCCCGAGCCTCGAAATAGTAAGACCAAACCTTGATTTGTATTTGTATGTCACATGATTGAGCACAAAGTGTTACTTTCACAAGTGCATACCTTTTTGATCTGCACCTACCCCCTATCTCGATTAACTTTGTGATTTTCACATTGCACTATTAGCCCGGCAACCCAATAATACACCACATGTACCCAAGGAAAAGCAAACAGCAGTACTCAAGAATACAAATCTTTTATATATTTCGACCGGCGCCCTACGCAGTCAACCCGTCGGCGACGTCAACCGATACATCTCCTTCAGGGCCTCCATACACCTCTCCCCAAGCGCCGATTCATTCAGCACCTTGGGATCATGCAGCAGTGTCCATATGAGCTGCGCTAGCCCCTCTCTCGTCGTAGCCTCCTTGAGCGCATCCAGTCCTTCGTCCGCGCCCTCGTTCAGCGTCTGTGACACGCTCTTCGCCCGTGAGCGTCTCCGCCTGAAAGCAAAGATGCTCCGAGTCATGTCCTGCCCTGCGTCGCCGCTTACGTCCCAGAGCGCCACGCGGTTGATGAAGTGCTTCATTGCTTTTTCTTCAAACTGCGCTTTGCGGGGTGCGATGGCGGCATCGAATTCTGGGTCTGCGGGATAGGATTTTGGGTCCCAGAGGCGGAGGAGGTAGCGAAAGGCTCGGATTTCTGCGTCTTGGAAGGGTAGGCTGCTGAGGTCGAGGGCGAAGGGGTCGTTGGATAGGATGGAGGAAGAGGAAGACGTTGGCCGTCCGCTTGTGGTGCTGGTGGGTGTGGAGACTTGCTCTTGCTCGTACTTGAGATCGAGGGCTTGGTGTGTGTCGATGATTCGATGGAGGGCTACCCTCTGGTTCTGAGGCACGACATCGGTGCCCTGGAAGACACGTGGGTACTCCCTTGGAGAGTGTTCAACGGGTGCTGAGAAGGAGCGTGAGGAGACGCTGCCCCCACTTCGGTTGTTGTGGAGGAAGTGTGGTCGCTTGGATTGGGAAATGGTGGCCATGGTTGGCAATGTGATGTGTGGTCGCTCTCGTAAAGTGGTGGATCTAGACGTATACCATTAAGGGAAAGCGCAGCACCTTTTCACTATATAAACAATTGTCAAGGCAAGTCAGGCAGAAGCAAGTAAGCAGGTAAAGGGAGTCAACAGTTGGACAGATCAACAAGAATGGGGAAGAAGGAAAGAAGGAAAGAAACACCAGCAAAAGGCCAGTCAGCAGACGGCTGGCAGACATGCCGACTATCCAGTAATTGAGCTGCGCACAAGCCGGCTGCCGAGCGTGACGCAAGCTCCTATTCGGATATGCAGTGAGCTGTTCAAAGATTATTCCCTCATTCACGGCCTTTTTAGCACGGCCGTGTTGTGTCGCGGAACCCCAGCCGTTTATGCGCTTGATTGGCGACTGAGCCACTGCATCGTTTGAGCCACGTTCTCATGAGCCACTTCTGACACGCTGTGTGGTTGAGTCACTGCGCCGCACTCTTCCGGATGGTGCGGGTCTGCAAACGACCGTGGTGGAGTCGGCGACACGCTCGCGCAGCGCTTTGGTCCTGCCGCTAACCCGGCTTGGTCGGCTATTCGGCCACCACAGCGAGTCGCTGAGGGCGGAGCGTATCTTGTCCATCCGCTGACGCGTTGGTATGCACCTTGCCTCTTCTCCCTCACACCTACACTGCCTAAGCCTAAACCCGCACGCCGAACTATTAACAACAACTACTTATTCACTTACATGCGGTGAGCATGTCCAGCTAGCCTGGCCCCCTTCATCGTCATGCATATGACCTATAGCCACGTACACTAGACATGTAACATACACATGTGTCAAGTTGTATATCTCATATATATATACACACTGATATCGAAAATACATAACTCATTACCACCGCGCTGTCCATGATGCACTTGGA